TCCACAGCAGCGTTAAAAAATCTTGAAACGCTTCTGCCCATTCACTTTGAATGGGGTGACGTCACTTTCCCTCACTTTTCGCCGGAATGCATTGTGGGAGATTCTCAGGATTTTCAAGATTCAAAGTTGAACAATGTTCAACTTTTGAAGCTGAGGTGGAAGCGGCAGCCAATCAAATCCCGTGTACGCAAATCTGGCAGTTCAAGCTCTAGCCAATCAAACGGCGTGTATGCTGGGAGAGACATACCGCAGATCATTTCCTCATATTCCAAAAAATGGAGGAGAAATTAGCGGTAGCGAATCAATCACCCGGTGCTTTATGACCAGACCTACCGGGATATAAACCGGAGGAGCCAGGCATGGAGGGAGGTGGCAGAGACAGTGGTAGGTTTTCGCCTGTTTTGGGGAGTTTATATCCAGTTTACTTCAGGCTTTTTTGCTTCGTATGTCCCGGGCGGGAGATTCATGTGATTGGTTGCTCGCAAAAAATCCTCAAGCTTCAGATACGCCCACCTCCAAGATTTTTTTAACGCTGCTGTGGAGACGGCCCGTTAGAAAGACCTTAATACATCAGGATTAATTCTTTATTAACACAATGAATGTTGCTTTCAGTCAGCCTGGATAGGGCTGTACGATGACCGGGACAGCTGGAAGTGGTCGATGTCAGACCCAAGCTTCTACGAACCAGGGAAGATCGGGTTCAGACAATGGGGGTCTGGAGAACCAGGCGCCTGGCACCATGAACAATGCACATTTGTTAATTCTGGTGGAACATGGGGTGATCAGGATTGTAATCACCCCCTCAGGGTGGTCTGCTTTGATGTCAGAGGTAAGAATATAAACTTCAAGTTAAAGGGAACCTATCATGCAAAATGCACTTTTGTACGTCTTTTATACATGAATATGTGTCCCCGGTGTTCCAGGGAACTCACCAAGTGTCAGAAAACACAACCCTCTCTATTTTCCTCCATACCCAAATCTCTAAAAAAGGGGCTGCAACGGATCTGATAAAAACTGATCCAGATTTGAACACTGTCCTGACGTCAGGACGGTGGCGCTACGGCTATTGGGCCAACTCTCCACCTATCAGGGGAATGTGGGGTTGGGCCACAGCCGGCCATTGCCGCTCGAAAGCGCTGGAGACGCTGTAGTACATATGCCAGGCCTGTAAGTGGCGCTGTCGTCTGCCACAAAAGCAGCGAAGAAGACTTCCCGCGCATATGGTAACCATGGTTACCCTTCTGTTTATTCTCCGCTGTGGCTTTTTTTCTCCCTCCCCGAGGCAAGCGTTTGCTCCCGCTGCTTTAATTCAATGCAATCCCTCCCCGTCGAGGCAAGCACTGTAATTCTCTCCGGTTAGTCCACCAGCAGATGACAAACACCCACCTCTCCGCCTCTTCCAAGGAACGAGGGGACCGTGCGGCAGAGTTTCAGTTTCAGTTTCTTTCGCCGGTCAAGATGTCCATTAAAGTTTAAATCTTCCGGACAAAATTAGAAAAGTGCCGGTCAAAGGTCTTCTTTGTTATTTATTGAGCTTTAAAACAAATGAATAACGACTCTATATAATAATAGGCTATAATAAAACACGGAAGACGGAGATCTATTTTTCTCCCCCTCTTCTGACAGCCCAGCAGCTGTTCAGAGCGCGCTCCCCTCTCCTGCAGGGGGGCGTGGTCAGCTGCAGCTCACAGAATCAGCCCCCTGCAAAAACAGTGCTGGAGAACAACACATAGAGCGAAATGAGGCATGGCTTAAAATCATGATCTGTTTGGTATTTTGAAAACAGAAACGTATAAATATACCTTATATAGGTATGACCCTACAATATATCATTTAAATATAGCATGATAGGTCCACTTTAATATTACACATTTAAAATGACATTTTAAGCTTCTGAAATACAATGCATTGGTCTTTATCTAACTAGCGGTTCCCAACCTTATTTATTTGTGACTTTTACAAAAACCCGTGTTTCCTTGTCATGATTGTCTAGGATTTGTTAGCAGTTCCACTAAAGACATTTCCCTTTTCACTAAGATTCTCACATGGTTTCATTTAAATGATAACGTAAAAGGAAATAATATGCATACACCATTTTTTGCAAACTTGTTTTAGGATTGTAGGTACGTTTTACATCTTATACATCTGTGCTAAACAGAATAAGAATAATATAGAATCAATATAATTTGAATGAAGCTTTAACCTGTAACACAGTATATTCACATTGTTGTACTCCTGCTTTTACTAAAATATCTGAATATTCCACCACTGGTACTACTAAAGTTTCTTGCCAACATTCATGTGTTGAAAAACCCCAGCACTACAAATGACAAAGTACAAATATGTGGGATTTAAATGTAATGTTTTATATTATAAAGGCATACATACCACCAGAGATGTGGCATTGATGTCAGGCAGTATGTCGTGTTGCCTCTACTCAGCTTCTCTGGGGTCCATTTTCAGGGCCGAATGCAACATTTGTCCGCATTGACAGCCAAATGACATGGACTGAGGCCCAGAGCTACTGCAGAGAACACTACACAGACCTGGCCAGTGTGAGAAACCCGGCGGAGAACCAGCAGATTGTTGAGCTGTTACCTGGAGGGTATTATTATTGGATCGGCCATTACAGAGACTCCTGGAAGTGGTCCGATGGAAGTAACTCCCCCTTTAAGTACTGGAAAGAAAATGAACCTAAACACAGAGCTTTTAAGGTTTGTGGCTGCAGCTTTCCATGACTCCAAAATGGGAGGACTGTGGAGTGAAGAAACCATTCATTTGCTATGGACGTGAGTAAAATGTACACCTATATCAAAGCAAGTGATGATATTGAGTCTGCTGAAAAATAAGCCACCATAAATGTAATGACTGATGAAGTTTGTTTGTGTTTTTAGAATATGTGCCTGTTTCAATGCAAGTGATAAAGGTGAGGGTGCAGAAACCAAACTCCGGTGTGGATCTGAACGACCCCGCTTTTCTGGATGAGTTATTGGTTGAGGTAAATCATGTTTTCCACTTTTATGCAAAAACAGAAAACTCAACAGAGACTTAGCTGCCTGCCATAAAATGAACCAGGAAGATGTACAAATACAATTTACACATCTGAGAAATGTTATATGGTAAATGCCATAATAAACTTTGGAAGAAACAAGTTAAATGTCAAAAACTAAAATAGGTCAGCATCATCCTAGGGGAGAAAACATTTACATATATCTAAATTGTATATCCATCTCTCTGTTTGAGTGATAATAATACAATGTTTGATAATAATACAATGTTTGATAATAATACAATGTTTGAGTGATAATAATACAATGACGATGAGTTTTTTGTCTCAGATGAAAAATAACCTCAGGGCCCAGGACGACAACGTCAAACTGGTCTGGAGGAAGCAGCCGGATGGACAAGTCCTCCAGAAGGAGAAGAAGAAGAAGAAGAGGGATGAACTTTAAAGCTGAATTGCTGTGTCGGCTTTTAAGATAAGATAAACATATTTCATGCTTTTCCTTGTTATATATGGTCTTGACGTTAAAATCTTTGGGCTTTTCACTGTTGAATTTATCTGTTTGGCCTGTGGAAAAAATAACAACTGGTCTTTTCTGCTATATTCTGACATATGAGATAAAATATGATTAAAAGAAAATGTAAACTAATATAAGATACATATAAAATATATTTTTCTGATTCTCCAAATCTACAAAACACATTTGGACCGGATAAGCGTACTCCCAGGCCCCCTCCAGGATCCTTGCGAGAGTAAAAAGCTGATCCGTCGTTCCACGGCCAGGACGGAATCCGCATTGTTCCTCCTCAATCTGAGGTTTGAGTATCGGCCGGACCCTCCTTCCAAGTACCTTAGAGCAGCGGTTTTCAAAGTGTGAGGTGCGCCTCCCTGGGGGGGCGCCAGAGAGCTTCAGGGGAGGCGCAGCGTGAGATAAAAAAATAACGAGAAAAAGACGAATAAAGTGTCACTTGCACACCTTTGGCTGTCTGTGGACATGAAATGTCACGCGTAATAATGTACGGACAGGACATGATGAGTTATGCCGATATGTTATTAAAGCACCACCACCAGTTATATGCATATTTACCCGAGTTAAGGCTTGAGAGATTTCTGGATTGCCAGGACAGAACTGATGTCGGGGCGGATGTAGGAGGTGAAGGCAGCGGAGGACCACCGCCCGAGTTGTTGCAGGGATGAGGATGATATGCCTTGATTAGCCGCAGAAGTAGCTGCGCCTATTCTAAAAGAGTGCCCCGAATATAATTGGGGTGATAATCCACATTTGATGACTACTTGTTTTAAGTAGTATTTGAACCGAGATTGTGACAGGGGAAGATTCCCTGAAGTGAGAAATAATGGTGAGAGGGGACTAGAGGAAGATCTGAAGCGCAGGTAATTGATCATAGATTTGTGGGGGCAAAACGGGGAATCGATGCGAGCCGCAATGACGGAGCAAGCGCCTCCGCACTTGGAGTGCTTAAGGCTTAGGCTGTAGTGACTCGCATAAAAAGACAGATCGGAAAAACAGATGTCTCGATGGGGGTCGAACGAGAGGGAAGCTGTGGAGAATTCGCCGGGCCTAAGGAAAGCGTAAAACGCTAAAAGAAATAGAGCATCGAGTAGTGCGTCTATATAAGGAGAAAATATTCCTTCTCTGAGTTTGGAAAGCATAAGGCGCATAATGGAGAGGGTAATAGGTAATCTGCGGTCTGAGACAGGAGGGGAAGCTTTAGTAAGTCCTTTGAGAATGAGCCTGGTTAGAAAATAAACTAGGAAAACTGGGATCATAGCATCGGACGTTGAACTGGCTACCAAACCCCGAATGTATTGGGGTTTAAGGTGACGGTCGGTGAAGCAGTAGCTCATGAAGGCGCACACAGTGTGGATGAGAACGGGTTTGAGGGGGATGCATAACGAAAAGCAAAACATGGCGAAGGTTCTCCAGGCGAAATCATACGTTTTGAGAGTGGAAGCAGCTAAGCCCTTCCTCATGAGAAACCTGGCGGACTCGAGGTGCCTAACTAAGGGGCTTGTGTTTAGAAGAGGGAAAGGAGATGAAGAGGGGGAATCCCGACAGGTTGCAGCCTGGCTTCTGGGCAGAGGTTCCGGAATGTCTGAAAGTGAAAGCGAGAGAGGGAGTCAGCGATTACGTTGAGGTGGCCGGGAACATGACGGGCTGAGATAATGAAGTTGTGGGTGATGGAAGACCACGTGACGCTTCTCATGAATGGCATAATGTCCGGGCAGGGAGAGCGCGCTTTATTAATGATCCCGACCACTGCTTGGTTATCGCATAACACTGAAATGCGTTTCCGGAGCCAGAGGTGGCCCCACACATAGCAAGCTACTGCAATTGGGTAGATCTCGTGCAGGGCAGAGGATGTGGCATGATTAGGGAAGGAGAGGGACCAGGGACCTGCGAACCACTCTCCCTGAAAGAAACCCCCAAAACCAGCGGATGGGGCGGCATCCGTGAAGAGCCTCATTGAGTCTGAGGAGTGCACTATGTCATTGTAGAAGAAAGTGACACCGTTCCATTGGTCGAGCAGGAGGGACCAGAAGCGTAGGTCTGAGCGGCATCCTTCATCTAAGGGAACATGATCGTGAAGGTTTTTTACAGCTGATGCTGCGTCCAGGAGGCGGGAGATGAATGAGCGTCCCTGTGGGATGACGCGCATGGCGAAATTGAGGTGCCCGAGGAGGGAGAGCAGCTGCTGTTTAGTGATGATGTGTTGCGCACAGTAGGACTTCGTGATGTCGCGTATGCGCTGCAGTTTGTCATTGGGGAGAGACGCTTTCATCTCTATGGAGTTGAGAGTGATGCCCAGAAACTCCAAACTTGTGTCGGGGCCTATGGTTTTCTCCGTGGATAGGGGGACGCCTAGCTCTTGGAAACAGTGTTTCAGTTTAAGCAGGGAAGCGCCTGAGTTGTCCCATGGGGGATCTATGAGGAGAAAATCATCCAGCAGGTGAACAACGGATGGGATTCTGACAACGTTCAGCAGGATCCAACAAAGAGCCTCGGAGAAGGAATTGAAGATGCATGGGCTACTTCTGCACCCGAAAGTGAGGCGGACGGCGAAGTAGAGCTTGGACTCCCACCTGATGCCGAACATGTTCCACTGGGACGGATGAATGGGAATGATTTTGAAAGCATCGGTGATGTCTGCTTTGGAGAGCCAGGCTCCTTGGCCGGCGAATTTAATTAACTTAATAGCGTTGTCGACCGAGGCGTAGTGAAGGGAGAATGGCTGATGGGATGAGGCTATTGACGCTGGAAAAGGGGCCTGAGCGTGGTGCAGACAGATCATAAATGATCCTTTTTTTCTCTGAGTATTTGCGAGTGGCTACTCCTATTGGGCTGGTGCAACACTGAGAATGGAGATGAGTGAAAAGGACCGATGATATACCCTTTGCTGAGTTCTTTCTCTATGAGCTGAGAAACAACTGCGGGTTCTTTGAGGGCAGACTGCAGGTTTTTTGCAACGAAGGTCACTGTGGGGGAAGAGAGGACCCCTACCCTGAAGCCTTGGGAAAGCCCTGAGAGGAGATAGTCAACGAACATGGGATCTGGGTGAGTAGATAGGACGGCTGCTAAGTGTGTTATGTTAATTGGAGTGGAGGGGTGAATGTTCAGAAGATTTTCCCGCCAGGAGGTTTCTGAAGCAGGGCAGGGATCTTGGGACGGCCGCCGCGCCTGGGGCACACAGACCTCGGGTGCGAGTCCTTGCAGAAACTGCAGATGTGGAGAAAAGAACAGGCTGAGTAAGTGCAGACATTCTCATTGAAATTATTGCAGATCTGCATCTCACGCCAGCGCTGCACCTGACGGCCTTGTCTGTCATTTGGGGCTTGAAACGCAGAAGGGGCTTTGAAGGCAGAGAGAGGCACTGAAGGGCAGAAAGGGGAGAGGTGGCCCGGGGTCCCGCAGCTGTTGCACGAGATGACTTGGTGGCCGCCTGTAGTCATCACGAGCAGCTCGGTGTCCAGCATGGACCAGTCCAGACGGATGTTTGAGTGAGCTATGTGGAGGGCGGCTTTGCTTGAAAAGCTCTTGTGATAAGCGTAGAACACACTTTTCCCGTATTTGAGATTAAGATCGCCGATCAGACCCAGATAAGCGTCTAGTTCTTGCCTCCTTCCCGGGTAGACTGAACATATTACTTCACGATATATGCCGAATGCAACCAGGAACTGGCCTATGGAAAGGTCTCTGTTGAGACGGGGGTCTGATGATTTGAACACTGCTGTGATGTTTCCCCCGGTGGCGATGGATTTGTCACACTCGGGGAAAGGTAGGATAAGGCTGACCAGGTTAATATCCTGCCCTTGAAGTATTTTTGCCCTGAGCCGGGGGGAAATATTAGCAGCTTGGGGGATGTAAGGCCTACCTGAAGGAGGGGGTGGGATGGCAGAAGCCAGAGAATGAGGGGAGACATCTGTGTGTGGGACTGAAAGGGCCTGACCCGGCGTGAGCACTGGCTGCGCCATGGCAGAAAGTACGGCCCTGGTGGTTGCTGAAGTGGAGGCTTCGGCTGAAACCCTTTCCAGGGACTGGAGGCGAGTGTCGATTCTCTGCATGGAATCGGCCAGGGATTGCAGGGTGTTGGCCAAGCTGTTATCCATGTATGGCTGGTTGAAAGTGCTTACGGGCTGGTCAGCGATGGGGCGAGGCTGGGAAGGAGTTGTCTTCTTTGAGGGAGGAGCTGCTGGAGGGCTCGACTTTCTTGTTCTTTTACCCCCGCGCCCGCGTCCGCGCCCGCGCCCTGGTCTGTCAGAGAGGCCGGCTGGAGCTGCTGGCATGGGCTGGGGAGCGACGAGTGGGACTTGGTCCGAGAGCTCACGAAGCTGGGAGAGAGGGAGACCTGGTGCTGGTACGATGCCCTGCTGCTGAAGTTGAGAGGTGAGGAGCTCTGCCTCTGCTGTCCGTGAAGCTGCGCCGCTGCGGGCAAGCAAGCAAATGCTCGTGCGCCGGTAACTTGAGGAAGTCGAAGCTGTGTCAGCCAGCATGTCGGGGCCAGGATCGGGATCCTCCTGAAAGGGATCGTTCTCGGAGAAGTCCGAACTGGACATGTTGAGTTTTACTTTTTAGAAGCGTTTTTTACTTAGAAGGTTGTTGCGACTACCAACTACGTAGAGTCACCTGAAATGACAGCTGTCAGAGGGGGAAGAGCAGACTTAAAAGGTTTGACAGAACGCTATGATAGGCTCTTGGGAATAGAGCGAGTGATTGGTTAAACTGAAGAGTGACGCCCCCGGTCACTTATTGAGAGGAGAGAGAGTAGTAACATGGGAATAGAGATACGTGAATGAGTAAAGACGGTCTTCCTGGTTGAACTTGCGCTGAGCTTCATTTGTCCAATATGGCGGACCATCTCGCACAGGGCAGGTGGACGGATCGGGTAGTGACAAGCACAACCACGGCGGAATATTACTGCCAAAAGTCACGTGAGTGAGTCACGTGACTTTTGGCAGTAATATTCCGCCGTGAGAAGAAAAAGTTTTGTACCTGTAAAAAAAAAGTGTTGTAGTTGTAAAAACAAGATTTGTACTTGTAAAAAGAAGTGTTGTAGTTGTAAAAAAAATGTGTGTACTTGTAAAACCTATGCTGAATTTGTCTCTGAAACATGATTTATTAGAAAAATGGTATGTGTTTATTTGATAGATACGTTTTTTCTTTGCAAAACTAAATGCATTAGTTTGTAGATGGTGTTTTGTATTTGCAAACCACATTGTGTTTGTTAGTGAATCATGAGGCATTAGTAAAACCTGTTTAGTTTGTTTGTGGAGTTATGGCAGGAAATTAGCTCCATAGATCAGGGGTGCCCAACCTTTTTTGAACCGAGAGCTACTTTTAAAGTGGCCAGTCTGCCGAGATCTACCAGTCCAACTAGAGAGGCGCAGCCATTACTGACAGCCGACTACCAGGTAAATACACACTTCTACTTGTATAAAACTGACTTTGTACGATTAATACTTCATAAAATACTGCAGATCCTTTATCTTACCTCTTTCTAATCTACACACATACAAGTATTTAACTGAAGTTACACAACAGTGTTGTTGATACAGAGTTGGAGTTTATTCACACGTCACAAACTACAGTGGGTAATGTTTTCAAGAAACATTGAACAGTGCTGCCACATATGACACAGGAAAAAAAGAAAAGACTGAACCCTTTCTTTGTCATTATATAAAAATAGTGTTGCTACAAAAGTATAAATTAGTACTAATAAGACAACTCAGATCTGAAGCTACACAGGAATCTGCTGCCAAAGTGCAATAAAAAAGACAAAATTAATAGAATCAAACCCTTTTCTTTTTTTTGCATTTTAGTAGAGTATAAAAAGAAATGCCTTTAAAATAGGATGCAAGCAACACTAGTTTCTTAACCTGAATTGATAATAGACTATAATCAATTTAAACAGAACAGATCTTAAAGTTTGCATTCTTATACCATTTTGTACAATAATTATAATGAATAAGTTCAAACAAACTAAAACTTACAGCTGATTAATAACGGTATCTAACTTGAGTTTTTATTATATCAAAAACCTGTTGAAATGCTACTGTTATTTTTACTGTCCCCAAAAAGGGCGTCGGCAGCCTCCAGGAATGCTTCTTTCACAACTTCGCCGTCTTTGAAAGACTTGACAAGACATGTGTTTTGCAAGAACGTGACTGACACGATAAGATGCTATGGTAGCAGCCTTGCTCTTGTTGTTGGGCCTGGTGAAAATTGACTGCTGTGCATTTAGCTGTCCTTTCAGGTCCCTCACCTTTTGGGAGCGTAGGGCAGAATTAGGAGGGAATTCCGTCTCGTAGCGTTTGTGCACTGTTTTGAAATGCCGCTCCTAAATTACCCTTCTTCGATAAAGCCACGCTCGCATTGCAGATGAGACAGATGGACTTTGAATTGGAATAGATACAAAAATAATCATCCTCCCCACTCGGAGTGAAAATTATATATTTTGGGCTCTTTTGCTTCTGCCATAATTGTGGTCTTGTGTGTGCGGACTGCACAGCAAACTAGTGCCCACTGCCTACCAGCCACGCCCCGATAAATCAAAAAGCTTTGATGCGTTCAAGTGCATTATTCTGGCACAGGAAGATTATGTTATAGGACATTAACGATAAAACAGAATATTGTCGTTCTATTTTTAGACACATCTCGCGATCGACTGAAACACAGAGGACTGTTTGTATGATGGGATCACAGACACGCTGCAAACGGTGTCCGCCAAAAGCCGAGTCCAGTGTCTATGTAGTGTCATTTTTATTTGTTATAGTTTGGGAAGATTGAAAATCGGTAGGGAGAGTCAGCTAAGTCGGTAGGCGGTAGAAACATGTCAAAAGCGGTAGACTACCGCCCATATCGGTAGGGTTGGCAGGTATGCTGTACCACACACACCTACAGCTCCTAAAGCATATAATCAGGCTACAGCCGTTGTGTATTTTATTATGTGAAGCACTAAATGGTTTTAGAAAAATATCGACTCTTTGTTTGTAGATATCTACTAAACTAAAGCAAATAAAGAGAGTAGGCCTGTTATACTGAGTGATATACCGGGATCTTCTCTCTGGTACCGACACTAACGTTACACTTAGATTCAAGATGGCGCCTGTGTCGGCTCGCCGCTCCCAGCTCTCTACCTTTAGCTATCCTGTTTTTGTTTTATGTTTGTCAGAATGTCTCTGCTCTGCTCGTTTACGATTGCCAAGCTCTCCTCCACCTCAGACCCTCACTGGAGTTGATATTGCTGCCCAAACATATTCCCACCTACCTGCGCCGGTTGCCCTGCATCCTGCCTCGCCGAAAGCGCTTTAGACGACGGGGAAAGCGTGGTGGTGCACTGGTCCATCTTAAGGCATACCTGACGGCTTCTTCTGGGACTTATCCACGCCTCGGATGTCATGGCCCTCCCGCTGCACGCCATGTGAGGGATCGATGGATTCGCCCTGTTTTTCCGGAGATGGGGAATCTGCTGGGCCCGCTGGCAGCTCCTCCTGCCCGACTGACTGCTCCCGGCCCGCGCGGCGTTCAACACGCACATCTTCGTCAGCTGAGACGCACTACACCTTCGGCAAGCCCGGAGCGAAAACTTTGCATGGCTTTGCTAAATGCTAGGTCGATAGCAAACAAAACGTTCCTGCTAAACGACTTCTTCACCTCTCGTGAACTGGATTTTATGTTTCTGACGGAGACCTGGGTCCACGCTGGCGAGTATACACCGTTCTCTGAACTTCTTCCTCCTGACTGTACATTCTTCAGCTCCCCCCGTGCCACCGGCCATGGTGGGGGCATAGCATCAGTGTTTAGAGCTAGCCTCCAATGCCGATTACTTCACCCTGTAACTAGCTATGCTAGCTTTGAGTTGCAGCTTTTTGAACTGAACCCGGCCTCGCCTATACTGCGCAGTCGTGTATCGTCCGCCAAAGTGCAATAAGGATTTTATAAATGACTTTTCTGACTTTCTGTCCGGGATCATGGTGAAATATGATCGTGTTTTGATCTCCGGAGACTTCAATGTCCATGTGTGTTGCGAGTCCAAACCTCTGGTTAGGGACTTTTTAAATCTCCTTGATTCTTTTGGTCTCGTTCAGTCCGTGGATGGCCCAACACACGAAAAAGGACACACCTTGGACTTAGTATTATCGTTTGGACTGTCTGTATCTGTGGATGAAATATGTGCAGCAACGCGTATCTCAGACCATTTACCGGTTCTGTTTACAACCTCGATCCCTTCCGCAGGAGTCGAATCACGTGCCCCTGCGCGTCGTCTGCGTTCGATTAACCCCTTGACTGCCTCACAGTTTTCTGATGTTTTTAATGCTTCTCCTATCTGTAAATTAGAGGTGAACTGTGTTTTTAGTGCTGATGAGCTTATCTCCATGTTTGACTCGACATGTACACTAATACTGGATTCTGTTGCTCCTTTTACGCTTAGACGCACCAAAGTTCTCTCAGAGCCGTGGCTCAATGACTGTACTCGCGCTCTTAGAAGCACCTGCAGGCGTGCAGAGAGAAAATGGATAAACGATAAACTCCATGTCTCCTTAGAAATCCTTCGTGCTTGCCTTTCTGACTACCAGACGGCAGTCAAAGCAGCCAAAACAGAGCACATTTCTCTGTTCATCTCCAAAAACAGCCATAAACCTCAAGTTCTTTTTAATGTCCTCAACTCGATCATTAATCCCTGTGATGTTCCTCCAATTGTGCCATCGACTACTCTCTGTGATAAGTTTCTTACATTTTTTATTGAAAAAGTATCTGCTCTTAGGCTAGCCCACACTAGTGCTACCCCAGATCCTGCTCCTTTTCTGTGCCCTGCTGTCCTCGACCACTTTGAGCCTCTCTTCTCGCTCGGATGTAGTCAAGCACCTGCGGCCGACAAACTGCACCTCAGACAGCATTCCCTCTCGCCTTCTCAGAGATGTTTTAGGATCAGTTGGAGCAAGTATTTTATTACTTATAAATACCTCTCTTAACTCAGGATGTGTCCCAGCTGCCTTCAAACATGCCGTGGTTAAGCCACTACTTAAAAAGAAACCCTTCCATTCTCGCAAATTTTAGGCCCATCTCCCAGCTACCTTTTTTATCAAAAGCCCTGGAGCGAGTAGTCTACGCCCAGCTGCAGTCTTTTTTAACCACGCATGGAATCCATGAAAAGTTTCAGTCTGGCTTCAAACCCATGCACAGTACTGAAACAGCCCTTTTAAGAGTTTTTAATGATCTGCTCCTAGCCGCCGACTCAGGTAGCCCAGCTGTCTTGGTGCTGTTAGACCTGACAGCTGCCTTCGACACTGTGGACCATAGCATCCTGTTGTCACGGCTTGAACAGTCCGTTGGCATCACAGGCTCTGCCCTTGCATGGTTCAGGTCCTACCTGACAGACCGTAGCTTCTCAGTGCAGCTAGGTGCCTTCTCCTCAGCCATAGCCCCTCTTACCTGTGGGGTTCCCCAAGGCTCGATTTTGGTACTGTCATACTGCCCCTTGGTTCAATTCTCACAAAACACAACATCCCCTTCCACTGCTACGCTGACGATGTACAGATCTATCTGCCACTCAATT